GGGCTGGTGGCTGAGAGCGCGGTTGTCGTTTTCGGTCAGGGGGGAGTCTCAGACTCTGAGCTCCAGATACGGGCGAATCGCTGGGGACTCGGACCCAAACGGGAGAAGCGGGAGTGTCTGGCATCAGTTGGAAGGCAGCTTTCCCTCCGAGGTTTGCAGCGGTTCCTGGGGTTCTGAGAAGCAGAGCCTCTGGGAACGGGACTGAGGGCAGCCATAACCGCTCCCTCCGCCCGCCCTGTTGAGCCCGCCCCGCCCAAGCCCTGCGCAGAGCCATTTGCCAGATCGCCTCAGGCAAAGGCTAGATTAGCACCTCCCCAGAGGACAGAAGTTTTCCGCGGCAGACACAGCTGATTCACACAGCCAGTCGGCCTGGTGGTCAAATCCCTCTAGTATTAACTACAACAATCAAGGCTCAACTAGAACAAGACTGCGCACAAAGACCACTAGGGGGTGCACCAAGAAAGCATAAAAAATGCGGAGACAAAAAAACATGACAGAAATGGAGGATATAGAGCTAAAAATCGCAATTTTGAGGGCTTGCAAAAATGTGCTAGAAGCTGTCAATAAACTTGAGGAGAGAGTCACGAAAACTAATGAGACCCTCGATGCTATGATAAAGAACCAACTAGAAATTAAGCATACACGGACTGAAATAAAGAATATTATACAGACACCCAATAGCAGACCAGAGGAGCGCAAGAATCAAGTCAAAGATTTGAAATGCGAAGAAGCAAAAAACACCCAACCGGAAAAGCAAAATGAAAAAAGAATCCGAAAATATGAAGATAGTGTAAGGAGCCTCTGGGACAGCTTCAAGCGTACAAACATCAGAATAATTGGGGTGCCAGAAGATGAGAGACAGCAAGATATTGAAAACCTATTTGAAGAAATAATGGCAGAAAACTTCCCCCACCTGGTGAAAGAAATGGACTTACAGGTCCAAGAAGCGCAGAGAACCCCAAACAAAAGGAATCCAAAGAGGACCACACCAAGACATATCATAATTAAAATGCCAAGAGCAAAAGACAAAGAGAGAATCTTAAAAGCAGCAAGAGAAAGAGACTCAATTACCTACAAGGGAATACCCATACGACTGTCAGCTGATTTCTCAACAGAAACTTTGCAGGCCAGAAGGGAGTGGCAAGAAATATTCAAAGTGATGAATAGCAAGAACCTACAACCAAGATTACTTTATCCAGCAAAGCTATCATTCAGAATTGAAGGTCAGATAAAGAGCTTCACAGATAAGGAAAAGCTAAAGGAGTTCATCACCACTAAACCAGTATTATATGAAATGCTGAAAGGTATCCTTTAAGAGGAGGAAGAAGAAAAAGGTAAAGATACAAATTGTGAACAACAAACATGCATCTATCAACAAGTGAATCTAAGAATCAAGTGAATAAATAATCTGATGTACAGAATGAACTGGTGATTATAATGAATCAGGGACATAGAAAGGGAATGGACTGACTATTCTTGGGGGGGAAAGGGGAATGGGAGATGCGGGAAGAGACTGGACAAAAATCGTGCACCTATGGATGAGGACAGTGGGTGGGGAGTGAGGGCGGAGGGTAAGGCGGGAAATGGGAGGAGGGGAGTTATGGGGGGGGAAAAAAAAGAGGAACAAATGTAATCTGAACAATAAAGATTTAATAAAAAAAAAATGAGGTGATACCCTTCCCCCCACCCCCCACCCCACGCAGAGATTTAAAAAATCCACACCCTCTTCCACCTTTAATTATCTAGAAAAGCCCAGCTGGCATAGCTCAGTGGTTGAGTGTCTACCTATGAACCAGGAGGTCACAGTTTGATTCATGGTCAGGGCATATGCTGGGGTTGTGGGCTCAATCCCCAGTGTGGAGCGTGCAGGAGGCAGCTAATCAATGATTCTCTCATCATTGATGATTCTATCTCTCTCTCCCTCTCCCTACTTCTCCGAAATCAATATATGTATGAAAAAATTATCTAGAAAATATCCATAAAAGATTAAGGTTAAGATATTTGCAAGTCTACGTCTGAGTAGCTACTAGGGACTCCTAAGCAGATGAATGTGCCTGGGAGGGTTTTCTCATAGAATCCTAAGAAAATGTAATATGTGAAGCAGCTCCGCTTTATAGGGACCAGAATGCTGAGATGCTTGTGCTTTTTAAAATCTCCTTAATTGGATTTAATTTATGTATGATGTGATGGACAGAAGCCTAGAGTATCAGGTGCAGCTGTAGGATCCTCATATAGCAGTGGTTCTCAACCTTCCTAATGCCGCGACCCTTTACTACAGTTCCTCATGTTGTGGCGACCCCCAACCATAAAATTATTTTCGTTGCTACTTCATAACTGTAATTTTGCTACTGTTATGAATCGTAATGTAAATATCTGATATGCAGGATGTATTTTCATTGTTACAAATTGAACATAATTAAAGCATAGTGATTATCACCAAAACAATATGTAGTTATATATGTGTTTCCCGATGGTCTTAGGCGACCCCTGTGAAAAGGTCATTCGACCCCCAAAGGGGTCTTGACCCACAGGTTGAGAACAGCTGTCATATAGGATGGAGGTCCTATCTTTCCCCATCTCCATCTGTCTGTGCCATACCCTAAACTCCCAGTATCTGACTTTTCTTTTTTTCCGGCCCGGGGGGAGGGGCCCTGGGAAGTTGGCAGGCTGGCCCCGCCCCCTGGTCAAACTCTGGGTCGAGGGGACAATTTGCATATTACCCTTTTATTATATAGGATTATTTTTTATCTTTATTATTGAAAGTATTACTTGTCCCCCTTTTTCCCCCATTGAGCTCTTCTAGCCTGCCCCACCCTAGGCCTTCACCACCCTATTGTCTGTGTCCATGGATTATGCATATATGCATACAAGTTCTTTGGTTGATCTGTTCCCACACACCCTCCCACACCTTCCTTCTAGGGTTCAAAAGTCTGTTCCATGCTTATATATCTCTATATATATATATATACACACACACACACACACACATATATGTGAATATATATATGAATGAGGCCCAGTGCACGAAATTTGTGCATGGGGGGGCAGGGTGGGTCCCTCAGCCTGGCCTGTGTCCTCTCACAATCCGGGACCCCTCAGGGGATGTTGGGCTTACACCGGCAGTTGGACATACCTCTCATAATCTGGGACGCTGCATGCACCAGTATCATACTTCTCATACAGGTGAAAGGCATCTTGCTGTTGTATGGGCAGCTACATTTTTTTGCCCTGATTACAAAAACTAGTACATAATGTGATCCTTCTGAGGCAGTAGTACCATTTTCCCCATCTTATGGGTGGAAAAACTGAAGCAGAGAGAAGTTAAGTAATTGGCTTTGTCACACAGTTATAAGTGTCAGAATCAGGGCTGACCACAAAATGTGCCAGCCAGAGTCCATGCATGTCATCGCTGCGTCATCCTGTTTTTTCAGTGTTAGAGTAGCCTTGCCAGGTTTTAATTTTTAAATCTAAGAGACTGTTCCCAATATATAGGGTAGGGTCCCTAGGCCTGGCCAGCAATCAGGGCCATCTGTGAGGCGATGGGCGGGTGGGGCGATTGGGAGGGGGCCCCCACTGGCACCGTGTTTGCTGGCATCCTGGTGCCACCCGCTGGCCAGCCCCACCCCCCAATTGCTGCTGCTGGTTACCCCTCTCTGGGGGCAGACGCTCAAAACAGGAGCTGCCCCCAACCTGTGTTGAGCGTCTGTCCCCCGGTGGTCAGTGTGCATCATAGTGACCGGTCATTCCACCAGTTTAGTATCTGACAGTTTTAACTTGGCACTACAGTGAGTTTTCTCTTTCCTCACTTTCTAGACTCAGGCTTAAATTCTTTTGGCAAGCACATTTTTATCTAATCATTTTAGTGTAGTGAAGAGCTAAATTTCCACTGTCTGTAATCTCTATGTTTTGACTGACACAGTTTTCTACTCTGATTTTTACACACAACAGACCTAATTTATAGTTTCTGTGCAATATTTCTGACCAAGAGAGGCAGTCACTATGGAATATTGAGGGCAAGAAATTTGAAGTCTTTTTCTTCAAATAATTTTCTACTATAATAATTCTTTACTCCATCTACAAATATGAACAGTGACATTTGGCTCTAAATTTTTTTCAGTCATTTATTTCTCTGAAATTTTCTGTTTACATAATTGGGTTTATATTGCATGTACTATTTTTGTAACCTGTCCCTTTCCATGTTTATATATATACTAGAGGCCCAATGCACAAAAATCCATGCAAGAGTAGGCCTTCCTTCCCCGGGCTGCTGGCACTGGCTTCCCTCCAGCACCAGGGACCCGGGCTTCCCTCCTCCAGCCACCTGCAGGCACCTGGGACCCAGGATGGCTTTCCTCAGGCCTCCCACAGACACCTGGGACCCAGGCTGGCTTCCCTCTGGCCCCAGCTTTATCAGGAAGGACGTTCAGAATGATGTCCGGAAGATGTCCAGTCTAATTAGCATGTTACCCTTTTATTATTATAGATGTGTGTGTGTGTGTGTGTGTGTA